TACAATGAATATGATTGGTCATTTAGAACAACACCCCTTGACCGTTATTTCCAAGTAAATAACAAGTTAGATAAACACAACCTGCTAATAGTTTTTCACCTTCCAAGGATTGTTTGGATTCCTCCTTATGATTTCTCAGGCCAGAGAAAGTTGTGTACTTGACTTTAGCACAGGCTCAGGCTAATGTCTGAAGCCTGAAAATCTCTTATTTGACCACTGTCAGTTCCCACACACACCTGGCTGCCCTAGAGTCCTCAGCCCTTGTTAGCCCTTTTGACTTGGGTCTTAAGCAAAGCCGCACTCAGGGGCTGGAGACAGGACCTGCAAGTAGGCTCCCAGCTGGAATCTGTGTCCCTGTGCCGAGGGATGAGAAGCCCAGTGACTGTTCTGCCCTTTGCCCTCACCAGGAAGACCTACACTCACCGGCGCCTCAAGTTCCTCTCGTCCAAGTTCCAAGTGCATGAAATGCTCAATGAGATGGAGGAGATGAGGGAGCTGAAGAACAACCCCCACCGTGACTTCTACAACTGCAGGAAGGTAAACAGCAAGGCTTAGAGCCCCAGGGACCCTGGAAAGGAGCTGTCATGGTGCTTGCCCCTCCCTGGGAACTGGATGTTAGAGTCTATGTCTGTAGCAGCAGCAGTGAATGGGAATGTGCTGCCTTCAATGCTCTTGGCTAAGTTGTGTCCTCTGGCTGCATTCACCCACTGGGCTGAGCTCTGCTCCCCACACCTGTGCTCACCTGATGGGTTTGCTCACCTCCCTGGGGTGGTACCTGAGCATCCCAGCTTGAAGCTGTCCCTGTTTTCCCAGGTGGACACGCACATCCATGCTGCAGCCTGCATGAACCAGAAGCACCTTCTGCGTTTCATCAAGAAATCCTACCATGTGGATGCTGACCGTGTGGTCTATGATGCCAAGGGCAAACAGCTCACCCTGAAACAGCTTTTCCAGAGCCTCAAACTGCACCCATATGACCTGACAGTGGATTCCCTGGATGTCCATGCTGTAAGTGGTAGAACATTTACTCTAAGATCACTCTTGGCCACTCTTGCCCCCATAGCTTTTCCCTTCCCTGTGCACCCACACTTGTTGTGTGCATTCCTATTTGTGTCAGGGCACAGCAGCTCCTGGTTTTGTCATTTTGGGTGGTTTGGCTCAGTCCCTGCTCCCTGCCAAGCTGTGAGGGCAGTGTTTGAGCCTGATCTCCCCACTCCAGGGCCGGCAGACATTCCAGCGCTTTGACAAGTTCAATGACAAGTACAACCCTGTGGGGGCCAGTGAGCTGCGCGACCTCTACCTGAAGACAGAGAACGCCATCAATGGCGAGTACTTTGCTACCATCATCAAGGTATGGAGAGAGGGGAGGAGAACAGGGTGACACTGTGCTGCTGCTGTGGCTTCCCTTGCCATGGTGTGCTCTGGTTTGCAGGAGGTTGGCTCTGACCTGGAGGATGCCAAGTACCAGCACACAGAGCCCCGGCTCTCGATCTATGGGCGGTCACCTGAGGAGTGGGCCAAGCTGGCCAAGTGGTTCAACACCCACCGGGTCTATTCCCCCAACATGAAGTGGATGATCCAAGTCCCCAGGATTTAGTACGGGCTGTGGGGCTGAGGGAGCACTGTGCATTATAGACCCCTCATCCCTGAAAGGGTTGTGGGGACAGAGCGCTGGATTGTCCCTCTGGAAGCAACTAATCCCTCTCTCTGTCCACAGTGATGTGTTCAGGTCTAAGAATTTCCTCCCCCACTTTGGGAAAATGCTGGAATATATCTTTGTTCCTGTGTTTGAGGCAACTGTCAATCCCCAAGCCCACAAAGAGCTGAGTGTCTTTCTACGCCACGTGAGTGTCACCTGGTGATGTTGTCAGGTGTGGGAAGAACTCACATTCCTGTTTGTGCCCAAGAAATGGGGTATTTGCCCTGACATGGAAAATGGCATCAGTGGGCTCTGCCTCAATTCTGGGGAAGGGGGGGTGTGGCCAGAAGTGCGGGGAGGGGTCAGACTCCTTGGGCTGGCTGCTGTGGGGCTGTGAATCGCTGTCCACTCATCTCCTGAGGAGGTTTGAGCTTTTTTTCTAGTCCTGGACAGCTCTTGGGGGGTGTGAGGAGTGAGGTCTGCAGTCTTGCCTGACCTGGGTCTGATGAGCTGTGGTAGGGCAGAGCGAGCCTGCCTGGGCATGATGAGGTGGAGAGTGTGAGATGCACCTTTTTTGTTCCCTTGCCAAGCAGATCACAGGCTTTGACAGTGTGGATGATGAATCCAAGCACAGTGGACACATGTTCAGTCTTAAAAGCCCAAAGCCAGAGGAGTGGACTTCGCAGAAGAACCCATCCTACACTTACTACATCTACTACATGTATGCCAACATCCTGGTGCTGAACAACCTGCGCAGGTGAGGCCTGGGATGTGCCAAAGGGCTGCCTCAGTTCTTTGATTGTTAGTGTGGAAGAAGTGGGGCTCTCCTCACTCTGTCTTTGGAGCATCACGTCCCAGAGCAATCCAAACAGCCTCATCATTACCTCAGTAAGAGGTGTGATGGCCTGGGCTGAAAGTTTAGGGATTGCAGAGATGCATCTATTGCACACACAGAGAAAAGAGAAGGAGTAATGTGCTCCCAGGTCAAGCTGGACTCCTGGGGACTTATGGTAGGGGCAGAGGTAGGGCCTGAAGTCGGGTCCAGCCACCCAACTCTGCTGTTTGGCTGCTCTGAGTGCTCCTTCCCTGTGCCCAGGCAGCGTGGAATGAACACGTTCCTGTTCCGCCCGCACTGCGGCGAGGCTGGGGCCATCACACACCTGCTGGCAGCCTTCATGACAGCTGATAATATCTCCCACGGGCTCAACCTCAAGAAGGTACGTGGAGCAGGCTGCCAGGAGCAGCCCAGGCACGGCAGAGCAGAAATGCTCACAGCTGCCTCGTGTGACAGTTACCTGTGCCTCTGCTTTAGACTGACACAGCCTGGCTTTAGGCAGATGTTAAGTAGTTTTCTGGGTTTCTCCAAGCATGTTTGGGGATGTGGCTGTGAAATGGATTAGATTTTGGGGGTTTAGCCTCCCAGACCCATCACAGAATATGGTTCTTATCACTGGAGCCAGCTGAGATTGGTATCAGACAGCTCCTTGGCCTCTTGTGCTCCTTGGCCTAAAGCAGTGATCACTGTCTGGCCCAGTTCTCTCCTTGCACACAATTCCCTGGGTGGGACCTGGCCTAATCTGAGGATTGACCCTGGAGAGGTGGTAGGTGCACAACTTTATCCCTAATGTGGTACCTCTGCATGTCTTTGCAGAGCCCGGTGCTGCAGTATCTGTACTTCCTTGCCCAAATTCCCATTGCCATGTCTCCACTCAGCAACAACAGCCTCTTCCTGGAGTACGCCAAGAATCCCTTGCTTGACTTCCACCAGAAAGGGCTCATGGTGTCCCTTTCTACAGATGACCCCATGCAGTTTCACTACACCAAGGTACAGTGTGAGCTGAGCACTGGGGCTGGGACTGTAGGGCTGGCACCGTGTGGGGCTTGGTTTTCCTGGAAGCCAGTGGCACTTGCAGAGGGTCCAGTCATCTCCCCCTCCACCAGCAGATGTTCAGGCAAGATATTAGGAAAAACTTCTTCACTGAAACAGGGTCAAGCAACCAAACAGGCTGCCCAGGGCAATGGTTCCTGGAAGTTTAAAAAAAATGAGAACACGCTGCATTTTGTGATATGGTTTTGTCAGCATGGTGGTATTGGTTGAAGGTTGGACTTGACTCTGGAGAACTTTTCCAGCCCCAATGATTCAGTGGTTCTGTGAGCTCTGGAACAGCCCCTGCAGAACATGGGCTGCCCTGGCAGAGGCTGCTGACCCCTAACCCTGTGCTGCAGGAGCCCCTCATGGAGGAGTACGCCATTGCTGCCCAGGTGTTCAAGCTCAGCACCTGTGACATGTGTGAGATCGCCAGGAACAGCATCCTGCAGTGTGGCCTGTCCCACGAGGTGGGTGTCCTGTCCCATGAGGGGTGTCCTGTCTTATGAGGGGTGTCTTGTACCATGAGGGATGTGTCCTGCAGTGTGTCCTGTCCCACGAGGTGGGTGTTCTGCAGTGTCTCATATCCCATGAGGTGTGTCCTGTTCCATGAAGTGGTGTCCTGCAGTGTGTCCTGTCCCATGAGGTGTGTCCTCTCCCATAACGTGGGTGTCCTGTCCCACGCAGGGGGTGTCTCGCAGAGCGTCCTGTCCCACGCAGGGGGTGTCCCGCAGTGTCCTGTCCCACGGGGTGTGTGTCATTCTGGGGCGGTCCTGCCCTCGGCCTGAGAATGGCGACCAGCTCGGCTCGTGGCTCAGGGCTTCTCCCGGGCGCTGCCAGCGGGGGTTCTGAGGTCGCTACCGGAGTCTTTGCCTCTGGCAGGAGAAACTGAAGTTCCTGGGTGAAAACTACCAGGAAGAAGGGCCCGATGGCAATGACATACGGAAGACGAACGTGGCCCAGATCCGCGTGGCGTATCGCTACGAGACCTGGTGCTACGAGCTCAACCTCATCGTCGAAGGGCTGAAGAACGAATAGGCGGGGGCCGGACCGCGGGGCCGGGGCAGTGCCGGACTGGGAGGGGGCCGGGGCCGTGCCAGAATGTGAGGGCGCCGGGGCAGCGCAGTAAAATCCCGTCTGCGAAGAGGCTCCGAGTGCCCTGAGAGAAAAGGGGAGGGATCGTCGTCTGAGTGACAGCCACGACAGCCAATGGGAGGTGGCTCTGTGTGCCCTGGAGCGGGGCGAGGGTGGGCTCTCGAACTGTGTGACAGCCACAGCAGCCAATGGACTGTGGCTCCGTGAGCGTCCAGCGGGAGCGGGCCGAGGCCACGGAGAGACGGGACGGGGCGCGGTGGGGCGGGGCCTCTTCCTGAGTGACGGCCGCATTAACCAATGAAAAGCGGCTTCTGGCTCTCCGGGGCGGGGAGAAGGCGGGACCACAGCTTGAGTGATGGCCACAGCAGCCAATGAGAGGTGGTTCCGCGCGCGCCGGGAGCGTCCTGCGGGAGCGGGGTCGGGAACGGGCCGAGGCCGAGGTGAGACGGGGCGGTGGGCGGCGGGACAGGGGGGGGCTGCTCCGGAAAGGCAAGCGGGCGGCCCGGGGGTTTGGAGCTTCCCGCAGGCGCGGCCGGGCTCGGGGCTGCGGGCCCCGAGGGGTCCCCGTGTCCCGGCTGCGGGCAGGCGGGCAGCGGCCGGTGCAGCATCTTCCCCGAGTCTGACGGGCCGGAGGAAGCAGATGCCTGCTCCAGCTGCCCGGGAGGAGACCCAGCTCGCAAGGAGAGCCGGGGTTGGGGTGGGTTCGTCTCTCCTCGTCCAGATGCCCGCAGGGAGGGCGCCGGGCGGAGGCAGCCGGGGGTGTCCGGTGGTGGACACAGCCGCACACACAGGAGGGCCCCGCTGAGCTCGTGGAATGCTTCTCCCGCTGAGGGCGATGGAGCCTGGGCTGCCCAGGGCTGCTGCAGGGTCTCCCGCGGGGATATCCAAAAGCCTTCCTGCTGTAGGTGCCCCTGTCTGAGCCGAGCAAGTCACACCGCCAGAGGGTCTCTGCCACCCTCGCCACTCTGAGTCTATACAGAGTTTTACGCACTGCTGGACTCTGGTGGTTTAGGTCTCACTGGATATTTGGGCTTTGTTGTGCGTGGGGCCGAGTGGTTACAGAGCTCCTTGGGCATGCTGGAGCAGTCCCCGCTTGCCTTCCCCAGTTCACTGCATACACACACCCTCTGTTCCAGTGACCGTGGCTGGACACGGCCTAGCTAAGAGGGTACCTGGCTGTGGCAGAGCCCAGACACTCCTCTTTTTAGTCCAGGAGCAATTCCTCCTGGCAGCCGGGACTGGTAGCAGCGAGGGATGGAAGGAAAGCAGAAGAGAAGTTACAGGAAAACCAGCCCCTGAAAATGTGTATTTGAGCACTGGTGGCTGGAGGGTCTGAGTGACCTTGAGTCCTAGTGCTGTCCATTCATACTTGGCAAATTTTTATCTCAGTCTTCTGCTTGTAATAATATAATATGGATATGACTCAGTGGGCAGCTCTGGAACACATTGTCTGAATGGTGTCTGAGAGGTTTTCTGTTGATGCCTTGGTCTGCATGCTTTGAACTTCCTGGGGCAGCTGCCTCCGTGCTGCTGAGACATTCCCAAAGGAATGAGTGGCCCCACACAGCCTGTCTGGGGTGGCTCGTGTAAAGCCACACAGGCTTTGTGACTTTCCTTTGGAATCTTACTTCTGATGGTGGCACCAAGGCACTGCTCCAGGATAAGTTGTGTTTGATTTTTAACTCCATGCCCAGCCTGTGTCTCAGTTCTCGTGTGCAGCTGCAGCATTCCTGGGGCTGGCAGCCAGCCTGGGGTGTAGGGGCTGAGTCAACTGCTGTTGTCAGTATTGCTACCCTGGGCATTCAGATGCTGTGAGTCAGGTTAAAAAGCCACGACTTTAAAAATAGTACACTGTGGGTTTCTGTCCATGTGCCCACTGGTGTAGCAGCATTCAGGGCTTACATGTTGGAAGTGCTCTGGTTTGGGGTTTTTTGATATCTTGAGGAAAAACTTGCTTTCAAGAAGTTGAATTTCATCACTTTAGAAAAAGGCAGTCAGTAGAAAAGTTTTAGACTGGCAGAGGCCAGACCCAACCTCCTTTTGCTGTGTAATTTGGATTTTCTGTGTAATTTTCTGCGTCCAGGGGCTGTGGCCATGGATCTAATGAGGCAGAACTGCTCCTCAGCAGGAGGTGCAGCAGCATGGAAGGAGTTAATACCTCGTGGTTAGAGTAGCTTTGTATCGAGATGGAAATGACTAAGCACACTGCATTCCTGAAGAGTTACAGATTTTGATATAAAATCTGCTTGTTTGGTACTGCCCATGTCTTTGAGGCATCAGCATGGCAGAATTGTTCAGAGGAGCTTTAGGGTTGTTCTGGAGAGGAACAGAATGGGAATAGCTGAGAGTTCTGGAAGAGGTCCTTTCCCTGCAGGAATGAGCTGCCAGCTTCCCTAAGCTGCGGAAGACCAGAAACTGTTTTTTATTTGGCTACTGACACAGGAGGCTTGGCGACAAGGACTCTGGGGTGGTTTAGGACTGCACAGCTTTCACAGAAGGACTGAGATTGCCTCAGAGCTGCACGGGCTGGTCCAGGTGGTGTTTGTGCTCCCAGGAGCAGGACAAGGTAAGGTGTCAGTGCCTCTGCTGCAGGGTGCTCTGGGTGCTGGGGGTTCCAGCAGCATGGCTGGTGGGGGGCCATGACCTCAGCACTAGACAGGGATTTATTCTGTAACAGCACTGGCAGCTTTCTCTCCTTGGGAATGTGGTTTCAGGAAATGGAATTGTCTCAAGGCTTTGCATGGAAAATGGGTTGTGTTCTCTCTGGCTTTCAGGGCTGGAAAAAGAGTCAGGGCTACCTGTCATGTGCTGTGAACGTGACTTATTCTTCTGCTTTGGAAGCTTCCAAACAGCGTGGATCAGAGAGCAGTCTTTTGGCAGAAATGGATGATGTTTTGCCTAGAAATTATTTTCCCCCAAACTGCTGCTTCCAGTGAAATGATTCTGTATTCTTAACTACACTGATCTCCTCTAAATCCTGATGCAGTAAGGATGATAAATTTGGCCCCTCTGGAAATACTGGGAAGCACACTGGAGCCACTGAAGGAATTTGGAAAGGGAGGTCAGGATGAAAGCAGTCACAAGTCTATTTATTCTGTGACAGAAATGATTTGTATAGTGTTTGATACAAGTGCTGGCTGCCTGACCCAGGTGGTCTCTGCCAGCTCTGTGTCCCTGAACTGTGTTTTAGTGTGTCCTGGACTGCATTTAAGGATTGCTTAACTTGGATCACACCACCCCACTGTGCTCTTTCTTCACCAAAGATCAGTCTCTACCCTTTCCTGGGCTCACGTGATGAGCTGAGATTAAACACCTGGTTCTTGATAGCAAGCCTAGGCAGGTGAAAAGCTGCATTCCTCTCCTCCTTGGATTGGTATTTTGGAAGAGACAGTCCAGGGAGCAGCACTGAGCAGGGATAACTTTAAGCTTGTGCTTGGTTGTCTGTGGATCCCTTTTCTGCATGTCCAAGGCCAGGTTGGACAGGGCTTGGAGCAACATGGGACAGTGGAAGGTGTCCCTGCCCATGGTAGGGGGTGGAAGGAGATGAGCTTTAAGGTCCAACCTAAACCATTCTGGGATGCTGGAATTCCATGTGCTGGGAAAGGCTTTAGCTTCTCCTCCACGTTTCTCAGCTCCTGGCTGTGCCTTACCATGGGAACAGGGTCCTGGGCAGTGGGACAGGACAGGAGCATTAGGCCTTGATTTTGACCATGGCTTGAGATGAGGAAGGAGAAATGGATCTGGCTGGCTGGCTGAGGAAGCTGCAGCACAGGCAGTTTTTGTTGCAGCCTTCCCAATGTGAGCCGTGGCAGGAAGGATGTGGGGCAGGCTGGCAGCCAGCAGAGCTGCCCAGCTTGGGCACAGCAAGGATGGACCCAGCAGGAAAACTGTGCAGGGCTACCCAGTGTGCAGTCATTTGTCCTCATGGATGGTGTTGGATGTCAGGAAAAGGTTCTTCTTCCCCCTGAGGGTGCTGGGACACTGAACAGGCTCCCCAGGGAATGTGCACAGCCCCAAGGCTGCCAGAGCTCCAGGAGAGTCCTGTGCAAGGCCAGGAGTTGGACCGGATGATCCTTGTGGTTCCTTTCCGAGCATATTCCATGGTTCTCTGTGGATGTTTTGCCAGGCTGCTCCCAGAGGAGCTCACAGCTGAAGTGTTTGGAGGAGAAAGCAGTGCTGTTGGGAATGAAAGCAGCTGTGGGCATGGACTGTGTGTGCTGTGGGGGTGCTGGACTTGCTCAGTGCTGTGGATAAAACCTTGCTCCACACTGCGGGGTGCTTTGGTTTTCTCTCCCTGTGCCAGTCCTGCATCCAGCAGTACTGTGTTTGAGGTCCTGGCAGGCACTGGAGGATCCTGGTGTGAAGCTGGGCTGCTGAGGAGGCTGTTTGAGCCCTGTCCTGCCCTGGCTGTCCCCAGCAGAGCCTGTCCTTTGCCAGCTGGGTCCTGGGGAGTGTCCTGGAGCACTGGAGCAGCAGTTCAGTGGCACAGCAGAGGGAAAGCTGCTTTCCTGTCTGCTAATCAGGGCTGTGCAGACACACATCAAGGAAGGATGGCTCTGCTCTGGCTCAGGATGTTTTGGCAACAATGCCTATTTCTAGGAGAGGGCAGGGGCCCCTTGCTGGTGTGGGAAGAGGGTCTCCAGCAGCTATGGAAGCACTGAGGACAGGCTGAAATGCTGATGAGGGACAGAGAGCTGATGATGGAGCAAATATCCCCAGCTCAGGGCTTACCCAGATTGTCCAAGTTTATCCCATTCACTGCTGAGTGGGAGAGTTACTAGCAGCTGTCTGGGACCATGGGCTGAGCAATTCCAGCCTGCAGGAACCCACGCTGTGGAGACAGGGAGCTGCTTCCCACAGCAACAGTGCTGCTTTGGCAGAGGGGGAGAGTGCAGCAGAGCCAAGGCTTGATGCCACGTATGCCCAAACCATCCCTGAACAGCCTGGGAGCCCTGGGATGTCCTTGACCAGTGAGCTTTCTCACTAGTGCTGTCATGCACTAGATCTGCCAAGGCCAGTGCTTTGCTTTTAATTGCACTGCAGATGCCTCTGCCAAGCAGATCAGCAGCTCCAGGGATAGCCCCGAGTTGTGGAATTTGAGGTGTGGCACCAGCAATGGGCAGGGTGCGGGTCTACTGTGGTGGGGGCTCTCCACACCCAGCCTGGAGAGTGTGACATGACCCCTTGCCAGGCAGATTTAAGCTCCTCTGTCTCCCAGCTTGGTTTGCTGCCCATCCCTGGCTCTGCCAACTCTGCCAAGCTGTGGTGACTCAGTGCTCGCCGGGTGTGGTGGCTCTGGCTGTGGAGGACACATGCCCAGGGTGGCAGTGGCAGCTGCCAGGCTCTGTCAGCTGGAGCCCAAGCACAGCTTAGTGTGATGCTGGCCCCTGGTCCCACCTGGAGCAGGTCTGGCTGCTTTCTGCAGGGATCCTCTGCTTTTGTGCATGTGTGGAATTCTGCTGTGTCCCTGCCTTTTGCAGGAAGACTTCTTGGTGCCAGGGCAATGTTACCAGAGCCAGTGTGGCCCCTGAGCTGAGCACTTGTCTCTACTGCAAATGGAGATTATTAAATACAGCTGGAGGGTTGGAATTTCTGAAATGGGATAATTGCCCAGAGAAAGGGAGGAGTGGGGCTTGTTAGAGCCTATGAGCTGCTGTCTTCTGTCCAAGATGAATTTTCACCTGTGCTGGCATATCTGGGAATATTGGGGATGCCTTGTGAGCTACAGGGAGAGCCAAAGAGCTCCAAGGCTCAGGATTCCATATGTGAAATGTCTGTACTGAGGCCATGCTGGACCTGCAGGTGCTGGGGTACAGCCACCCCAGTTCTCCCTGGTGGTTTCACCTGCATTCCTTGCTGGATTATCTGGAGGATGTGTGCTGCATCCCCTGGATCACATGTGTGGGAAGTCTCAAAGGGCACAGCTCCTGTTTGTGCAGGCTCTGCCTGGGTAGGAGAAGGCAGAGTGTTTCTTTAGCATTCCTTCTCTGCTGATCTAAACACGGCATGATTTTTCACTTGAAGATGAGAACTCACCTGTTTCTTCTGCCTTTTGAAACTCCCCTGGCTGCAAGCCACAGGCTGGGCACCACTGCCCTCCCATCTCTTGGATGGCAAATTTAGGTCAGGTGTTGACAAACAGAACACCAGGCAGGTTTTCACTTGTGTTGTGGAGCAAGAGAGCACTTCTGGGAGGAGGATGCATTGCCAGAGTCGGGCTCTTTCCCAGCCACCACAGCTCTTCTCGTCCTGTGAAGCAGCAGCTCCTCTCTCGAGAAGCAGATGTGGCTCCTTCTAGAGCTGCCCTGGTGCCTCCTGTCCTGCTATGTCTCTGCTGAGTAGGGAGCTCAGGTGCCACAGGGATTTGTCTGATCCCTGAGTATCAGGAGGAGCTGCACTCTGGCAGAAGGGCTGGCTGAGATCCATGCTGCTGTGTTCCTCTGCCATTAAATAATTTCCTTGAGTCTGGATGCTTGGGATCCCCCAGGGTATTTTGTGCCTGCTGCATTTGTTTTTTAAGCTGGTAAAGCCTCGGCTCCCTCTTGCTCACCCTCCCAGATGTGTGCACAAACAGCCCTTGTGGGGAGCGAGCTCTGGAAGCCTGTCCTGAGCAGGTGATGGATGTGATTTGGGGAGGAATGTTCTGCAGCAGTTGCCAGGGAGCAGCTGGGGGTTTGGGGTGGGGAGCACTGCTGGGGTGCAGCTGACAGCTCTTGTTCTTGCCCGCAGGTCAGAGCAGCCAGCCCGGACTCGGTGACAGCGCCGGGCACGTCCGAGTGTGGTGCCAGCTTTGATGTGTTCAAGACACGGGAGGACGTGGCCAGGGCCGGACATGGACTGTTTGTGAGCACTCTGGCCCCTGCCATGCACCCCACGGCAGCTGGGGACAGCAGCTTCTCCCGCGCGGCTGTGCAGACCTTGTCCCGCAGCCACTGCCGCAACATCAAGCAGAAGATCTCCCAGTGGGAGGGCAGGACACGGGGCTGCCCCAGCAAGGAGAAGCAGCAGCCAAAGGACTTTGGAGTAAAGTATGATCCCAACTGCAATGCACTACCCAAAGTGAAGCCAGAATGCACAGGGAATGGCAGAAAGGCTGGGTCCAAAGATCCAAAGAGCCTGGGGCTGGATTTCAGGGAAGATGCATGGAGCTGCTGGCAGACTGAGGACTGCAGTGGCCCAGCTTCTCAAGCCAAGCAGAAAGGAGAGGGGCAAACAGGATTCCTGGCCCTGGGGGTGCCACTGCCCCCAGGGAACTTCTATACCTCACAAGCTCTGTGGAGAAAAGCAGATCCCCTCCTGCCTGGCAGAGCCCCTCCTGTTTCCTTGGACCTCCAGAGGAAGCGAGGCAGCTCTGGCTGCACGGAAAGAGAACTGCAAATCAAAGGAGTGGACACTTTCTGCGGGGCAGAGAGAAGCTTGAGAAACATTTACTCTGAGGTTGAGGGGCAAGAGGAGGAGCCAGCTCCTGATCCACCACCCAAACCCCGCAGGACTTTCTGCTACCTGGCAGAGAAGGGTGCTGGTGCTCGTAGAGATGCCACTGCCAGTAGGGAAGCTGTCCTGCAAAAGCAGAGTGGAAGTGGCTTGGTGTCATCCTCCAACAGCCCTGAGAAGAAAATAGCCAGCAGGAGGATCAGAGGGAGAGCCCAGAGGTACATAATTCATCTCTCATGTCTGAAACATTTCCTTAAATCACATTCTAGATGGGTTTGAGCAGCTTGCTTGGCATGATGTCCTTGTGGAGGTGCTGCTAGTGATGGTGCCTCTTTTCATGGGGAAAGGATGTTCCTGGGTGAAATGTTCCTGCTTTTTTGCTGACAGTCTTGCAAAGAAGGCTCCAGGTTCCAAACAGAAGTCAGCCCACACCTTAGAACAGAGTGGAGTGACAATATGCTGGCCCCAGGGAGAGACCTGCCTGCTCCCTGCCTGCTGCTTGCCCTCAGCTGCAAGCTTTCTCTTGGGGCACTGTGGCTGCTGCGTGTTTGGCTTTCCTGGGAGAGAAGGATTCTCTTGTTGCTTAAGGCTGTGCGTACTGCTGTTGTAGTAGGTGTGGCTGGTTCTCCCTCTTTCCCATACCCTTCTGAGGTGGCTTGATGCAAATCCTGCTCCCAGGTGAGCTGCCTGTGCTAGACTGGTGTGCACAGTACCAGCAGAGATGTGGCTTGAAGTTCTGAAACCTTCCACTGTGGCAAAGTGTGCAGCAGCAACTCACATTTTATGATGATGATGGGCTAAATCCCTGCCAGCTCCTCTGTGACCTCAGTGCCTTAATTTCAAAACAGTGGCTAAGTGGATGGAAATGGCAACCCACAAATGCATGAACACCCTGAGCACGAGTAGGAGAGGCCAGTAGGAAGCAGTGTCCTGGTACTGAGCTGCTGCAAGTCTGCAAAACATAGTTTGGGTTCTTGCTTCTGGCAGGATGGATCTGGCCATGCCAGAATGTGCTTGGAATGTGCTTGGTCATGGAGCCTCCCGCTCCATTTCTTACTTAACAAATTTCACAGATGAAGTGAGCAGGACTCACTTGGTGTGCTGGCTTTGATTTGGATAATTTTCTTCTTGGCATCTTGTGTGATGCTGAGTTTTGGAGTTGTGATGAAAATATTGGTAACATTGTGCTCACACAGAGCTGGGAGGGGACACAGAGGGGACAGCTGACCCCAGGGATGTTCCAGACCCTGTGGTGTTCTGCTCAGCAGTAAGAATTGGGGAAGAAGCAGAAAGAGGGGGACATCTGGAGTTTGTGTTCCCAAGTCACTGTTGCGCATTACAGAGCCCCTGGACATGGCTGAACACCTGCCTGCCAAGGAAAATAGAGAATTAATCCCTTGTTTTGCTTTCCTTGCTTGTGCAGCTTTTGCTTTACCTTCCAAACTGTCTTTATCTCGACCCATGCATGTGTTTTCTCTCTTACCCTCTGATTCCCTCCCCCATCCCACGGGGTGGGAGTGAAGGGCTGAGCTGTTGCCTGGGGTTAGACCTCAATCCTTGAAAATGCGAGTCCAGAGTGGAGCACCCGTGTGCTGGATGGTCCCACTTGTGTGTGGACTGCAGACAGCAACTCAAGCAGGTGCCTTTAGAAGAAGTTACACTGGTTTTCCTCTAGGAAATCTTTTGAGTTTGAGGACATCCAGGGCTTCCGCAAGCAGCCGGCAGCCAGCGGCTCCCACAGACCTCGGGAAGAGACAAATGGCACTGCAGGATCCAGGCTGGTCTACACTCAGTCTGAAGACAACATCTACGAGGACATTATCTGTATGTGTCTGTGCTTCTGGGGGTGCCCTCACTGTGTTTAAGGGTGGCAGTTGTGCTGGGGAGGGAGGAGTGAAGGTGAGGGTGCATTCAGGCCCTTCCCAGCTCTTTTAAGGGATTTTTAAGGTCTTCCCCATCTGGGGTTCTTTGTTGGTGTTGACGTGCACATGAACAGCCTGATTTCGGATGTCATGGGAGGTCACTAGAGTTGGCCTGTGTTAAACTGATTTCTTTATTAACTCTTGGATTGCTTTGCTTGAGTGTTGCACAGAGATCAGTGTGAACACTGCCAAAATGATCTGCTTTGCAGTAGAGCTGCTTGCTCTGCAGGGGAAAAAGTGTTTTGTTCTGCTGAGTCCACGTACAGTTTGCCAAGTTGATGGCAGTGGGTTAGGATGTCGCGGGAACCTCATCCAACTCTAAACAGGTCTCTCAGACCCTGTTAAAGCTTGGCAGATAGCTGCACACTCTCCCCACTTATATCCCTGGCAAAAAATACAGGGCTTTATCTCCTTTCATAAACCCCTCCAATGCTTTTTCCAGGTCCTACAAAAGAAGATCCTTATGAAGATATCAGAGCACTGCCCTTGCCCCTGTGGAAGGTCCCATCTGTCTGGAAGCTGCCCCCTCCTCGGAGCATTAGCAGGGCTCCCAAGGTAGGGTGGGGGGATTAAAGGGTTAGGTGTTTGCGGAATCATTCTCACAAGGGTCCTCGTTTGTGCTCACTCCCAGCCTCACATTCCACACTGCAAGTCATTGGTTTTCCTTATTGTTTTATTGCTTGTTATTAATGTAAATAATGTATAATGTAAATAATGTACAGCCATGGCAGCTGGTTAAGCTGCTAAGGAGCAAAAGATTAGGAACAAGAGAGATTTGGTGAGATGCTTGGGTGGGAAGGTGGGATGGAGAGCTCGGTAGAGCAGATGTACCAGCTGTAATCTGACTCCTCTGCCTGTGACCTTGGTCCAAAGCTTTATCTCACACTTCACTGTCTCTTCTGCTTCTGTTTTCCAGCCTCCCCCAAAACCTTCCTTCCTCAGTCGCAAGTCGCTGGAGCTGAAGCCCTCCCAGACAAGTTTCCAAGGGAAGATGGGGAAGGAGACCTCCCTGCCTGTCACTCTGTCTGAGTGGAAGCTGTTCCGAGCAGTGGAGGCTGCTAGCAGGAGAAAGAACCTGCCCTGGGTAAGATTCAAGTGTGAAACTTCACTTCTTGCCTGGCATTTCAAGCTCTTGCTGCTTTGCAAGTGCTTTGTAAGTGGCCACGGAGCTGTGAGCCAGGCAGGTGATTGCTGCTTGGCACTGCTGCTCCAGCCATTCCCTCTCCAAGTGGCAGGGCTGCTGTTTGGGGATCTGGGTGCCAGTCCTAGCTGGGACAGTGGTGTTTTTGTTGGCCAAGAGTTGGCAGACAAATTGCTCAGTGTTGACCTAGAGGTCAGGGCTGTGTGTGAACACAAACCCTTCCTTGTGCTTGGTCACCTAAGCTTTGTTCCCAGTGTTTCCATGGAGTGTGATGGTGCTGGGTTTATGCTCTTGGACAGCTACAGGGGCAGCTCTGTAACACTGTGTGGATGTGTCCCCTGCTCCCAATGACTTTCCAGACTGGTTCTTGTGTTCCACTGCAGGCCCTGAGCTCTGGGATAGTTGTGGGGCCCTTGGTTACTTGGAATGTTGGCCTGGAATTCTGGACTAGCATCAGGAATTGCTGTTCCATAGTTTAAAGGTGCAGAGGAACTCTCAGGGCTAAGATCATTTCACAAAGCCTCCTGTCCCTTCTGGCCTCTCCCTCCTGCCTGGCTGCAAAGACAAGTATGCTTCTGAGGCCTGAGGGGTGAGGAAGGCTTTTAATCCACCTTCACACAGAGGACTATTCTGACCCTCCTTTGGTGCCTTGGGAAGGTTTCTAGATCCTCGTGTTGGTTACCAGCTCACACCCCTCAGGGATAAAAGGCACCACGTGCTGTAGAAGGGCAGCAGCAGTGCACTGTGGTGGCACTTTGAGCATGGGACTCAAATTCCAGTTGTGGTAGTGGCAAAGACTTATTTTTGCTATGGTAAAATCATTTCACTTCAGCGGATCTTTATTTCATCTGAAAATCACGTGTATTTGCTCAGATTGCACAAGACTATGAGGTAGAGTTGGACAGCTGCAAAGGACTTTTCAAACCTTTTAAAGTGCTTTGGAGTATCAAGTAACTTCTGTCTGTGTTTTTAAACAAACCCTAGGTCTGGAAAATCAGGAAGGAGATGGCAAGATTATAAAAATGCTTTGATGGAGAGTATCTCTCATTTGGAGAGGGAAAATAAAATGTTCTCCAAAAGCAAACCTATTCCAAAAATCTGGTAACAATTTGCATGCAGGAAGAGCACTTTACTCCCTTTGCTCATGAGGAATTGAGCCAAGATTGCTTGAGAGGTTGAGTAAAGGACTGGGGTCTAAAAAGACAAAACCTTTTGCCTAAGAAACACATGGCTGCCTTAAACACACCCAGGGTGGTGACTCAGCTGCACAAAAATCAGGACAGAAATGAAGATCTTCTAGCTAAGGCTGGATAAAAAGGGAAAGAATGCAGGTTTGGCAGGAGGAGCACTGTTCTCTGCTGTGGGCTGTTTGTTCCCTGCAGCCTCCTTGTGCTGGGAGGGCTGTGTGAGCCAAAAATGGGGAGAAATCGATTGGAAATGGAGAGCCTAAGCCTGATTTGCTGATGTGGGGATTAAACACTTGAGCTGAACAAACAGGTTCTCTTTAATATATTTCTTTTTATGCTGTATTTGTGATGACAAATGGCTGGGCCCCACCCTCCTGCGTTCGGTTTAATGAATTCTTGAGGCAGGAATGAACTTGACCTGCTCCCTGCATTTAGGGTAAATCCCTCTTCACGTGAAGTGAAAGCTGCCTTTGATGTGGGGAGTCAGGAGCCCCTGGGACGCTAGAAGGTGAGGGGAAAGCACAGAGCAGGCTGTGCCAGGGACACAGAAAGTGTCAGGACTTTGGCTTTAAGGCTGTTGTGACCAGTGGAGGGAAGATTGCCAGCAGCAATGCAGAGTGTCAAAATGCTGACCCTTCTTTCATGTCTGTGGCTTAGTCTCCACTGGGCTGTGCTTTTTCCCAACTTTTTTCTTCCAGTGGACCAGGTGTGTGGTCCTGCAGCACAGACCCATTGTTCTGTCTTCATTTCAAAATCACAGAATGGTTTGGGTGGAAAGGCCCTTAAATTCCACCATGGGCAGGGACACCTTCCACTAGAGCAGGTTACTCCTTTGGTGAGTACATCATCCTTTTGTTCCAGCAAACACCTGGGACAGGGCCTGTGCTTAGAGCAGCCTCACATGTCCTAAGGACACTTGAGCTGATACCCAACTACAGCAGCAAACTCCAAAAACCAACCCAAAAACCAACCCCCAAGCTACAGTGAGAGAGTGCTGCTTTTTCTGGGCTTGGAAGGAGTTGGGATGCTGTGGAGTGTATTCTGAGTCCTCTGTGCTGGAGGGTTTGTAAGATGTTCTTGCAAGTGCCTTTGCATAGAAAATGGAGATCTGATGCTAGACAGTTTGTCACTTCTATTTGGGAAGGCAAGTGTGACAATTTCCAGAATGCTTGTACAGTCTGGTGTCGGCTTTAAGCTGTGCTGACAGGGATCCCTCTCTTGCAGCAGAAATCTGTGGTCATTCTTTATCCAGTAAGCTGGGTTAGAAGGACTCCAGCCTCTGAGCCAGGGTTCCTGCAGGTTTTGTGTAGCTTTCCCCAGGTCTTGGATGGTGGCTGCTGGGCTGCCCTCCTGTTGGCACCTGGACCCTTCTCTGGACTCCCCATTAACTTCTGCTTCTGCTTTGGATTTCAGCTGGTGCTAAAAATACAGGAGATCTTTGATTCCAAGCGGGGAAAGAAGAAGGTGAAGCTGCTCAGTCCTTCTGGGAGAGAAGCAGCTCCAGTGAAAGGTATTGGGGTCTCCAGCACCACTGTCTGTGCTCTAGACACCTTGAGTGGCACAATTCCTCTGTCCCTGGCCTGGTACCACCACCTCATGCTGACACAACAGTGACTCATGGCTGGAATTGAACTTTCAGCTCAAGGAACACTTGCCTAACCCAAATTTAACAGTCACAAGTGGAGGATTCTGAGCCTGGAGAGCTGGGCTACTGGTTAAAAGTGCTTTTTTTTTTTTTTTTTTTAAAAAAAAAAGCAGATTAAAGCGAAAATTCCTCAGAAAACCACTTGGCATCAGAACTACTTCTGACTACTGCACTCATTGTCTATGTGCCTTGTTCTGATTGTGTAGCCACAGTAGGGTCTTTTTAGTTACTCTGTTCAGCAGCTCGGTTCAGTTTTATAGTGCTCCAACCAGCCAGCTGGTTTGTGTTCTTTGCCTGTGTTCAGTTGACCTGCAGGTCATTCACTGGCAGCACTGGCTTGATATCAGCTCTGCTTTTTGAAATTTGCTGTAATGTGATGTAATGACATTTTTGAAATCTGTTGTAACACATTTTCCAGCTGCCCTTGGCTGATGCTTTGGGCAGGATTGGTGGGCAGCCCTAAGGGATGTTGATCTGATGAGTCTCAGGTTCTCTCTCTTTCCCCACTTTGGGTGTTGCCCATCTTCCTTCTGCGTGGCTAACTAGTGAAAACTATGTGTGTTTCAGGTGAAACCAGTGGGAATGAAAGCGATACGGAAAATCAGCCCAAAAGTGAGTGAATCACAGGGGCTGGTTCTGTCCCCACAGCACCCTTGGCTGAGGCCCTGGTGGGATGAGCCCGCTGACGTGTGGGGATCTGCTGAGACAGGGACAGGGAGTCTCTCAGAGGCCACATGGCCAAGCCTGTTGTCTGTTACTGTGACAAGCCAACCTCTGTTTCTGCCCTTTCCCCTGAGCCCTTGAGGTTTAATGCCATTAATCTGCCAGTCACCAGAAGCAGATTCATTTCTGGGCTGGTAGTGTGGCTTGTGGCAGGTTGTTCCTGATCACCTCTGCTGCTGCTGCTTGAGGTTATTCCACTCCTGTTTCCTTCCATGTAATGCTGTGCAGTGTCCTTTCCTCTGGGGAGAATTTGCCTGGGTATTTGTCAGTTTCCAATGTCCTGAGTTTGATCATAGACCCAAACTCCAGACCTGAAACACCTACTTGGTTTTAGCTGGTTTTAGCTTCCATGTGTAGACAGATAGAACACAAAGATCTAACATAGGGTTCCAGAGCAGCTGTGGCTGCCTCTGGATCCCTGGAAGTGCCCAAGGCCAGGTTGGATGGGGCTTGGAGCACCCTGGGCTAGTGGAAGATGTCCCTGTCCATGGCAGGGGTGGCACTGGGTGGGCTTTAAGGTCCCTTCAACCCAAACCTTTCAAGGATTCTATGAACTGTTTTAGGTGTTTCATTTACTTGGAGGGAAACATTCAAAAGGCTTTAACTTGGAATGAAAAGTGAAGTTCCATTTCTTTATGTTAAGGAGAGTAGTGGAGAGTGAAGAATCTCAACAGAAATTGAGTCACTGCCTGCTGGAAGAGTTGTTTGAGAGAGTCTAGAATGTGTCACGGTGCCTGGGCCACAGGAATTCCTGACATCAGAGGGCTGTGCCTGTGCTTGTGAGCCTTTGCTGACTGTCAGGAGAGCCCAGCCTGAGGGTGTCTTGGCCAGGGAGCTGCCTCTGAGTGCCCAGTGGTGTTTGGAGTGGCTCCCCGAGTCCTGGCAGCTCCTGACCTGGTGCAGCTGGGCTTCACTCCCTGGTACCCTGTTGTGTCACTCTGAGATATGTAAGAACATCAGGGCAGCAGGAGAAATTTCAGTATCTGTCAGGGAGGATTTACAGAGCTGCTGCCAGGTCAGTGCTCCCTGTCTGAATCACAGAATCCTGGAATTGTTTAGGTTGGGAAAGACCTCTAAGGTCATCGAGTCAGTCATCAGTCATCAACCCAGCACCACCACCATGCTCACCACTAAACCACATCCTCAAGTGCCACATCCACACATTTTTTAAACACCTCCAGGGATGGTGACTCCGCCACTGCCCTGGAGAGCCTTCTCCAATGCTTAACAACCATTCCAGTGAAGAAATTGTCCCTAATGTCCAATCTAAACCTCCTCCAGTGGAATCTGAGGTTATTTCCTCTTCTCCTGACACTTGTTCCCTTGGGGAAGATCCGCTCTGTGCATGAGGAGCTGACACAGGCACCCCATATCCCATGGAGGTGGGGAAATCCACCCATCCCTTTTCCCTCTCTGATGGCAATGCTGAATCCTCTTCTGTGCCCTGTAGGTGTGTGGCAGTGCCAGCCACAGGCTGGTTTGGAATTTATTCCTCTCCCCAGGTCATCACAGGTGCCCAAGGCACTCGGCCTCCAAGAGGAACCCACACTACCAGACCTTGGAGAGGGATCTCATCGAGCTCCAGGAGCAGCGGCTGTTTGAGCTCTTCGTGGTGGTGTCCCTGCACAAGAAGGCATCTGAGGTCACCTACACACCACACATCATCCAGCAGTTCCCCAGCAAGGTAGGAGCTGTGTGGAAATCTGCCCAGGGAACTGCTCAGCTCTGTGTTTCCCCTCCTAAGCTACACTGGTCAGGATCTGGGCTTGGAACGTGAAGCACCTTGCTCTGTTACACACCTAGTGTGTAGTGTCAGGAGGTTCTTTGCTATAATTTCTAATGTCCCCTGCCTCTCTGCCACCACTGTCCTCCCCGCAGCAGCCAGGGAGACAGGGGAGATAGATTAGCTTATCAAAGAAGAACCTAAAAACGAGGCTTCTTCCCTTGCTGAGATGGCAGTTACAGCTTTATTTCTTGGGATCCTACGGAGTGAGGTCGCAGGAGGGAAAGAGGAAGAGGTATCGATAAGCACTCCTTTTTGAAGACAGGGGGAAAGGGGTGGAGGGAATTCACACAACCAATAAGGGGAACTGGGGAGAACAAGATAAGGGAAAGAAACTTACAATTCTACATTTTCGGGGGTTCATTTTTTGGGTCATACCATTTTTCCTAACTGCATTACAACAGTTCTTGAATATGTGTCTTGGTAATGAGTTTGTTGACGTTTTTGAACTAGGAAGGCTCCTACTTAATTCGAATTTCATGAAGCCGTGAGGTATTTGATACCAGCTGAAGGAGACGAAGGAGAGTTCTGTCCCAAAGCTTGCAGGAACGTCGTCCTGGCAGTCTGTCCTTTGTAAACAAGGAGTGAAGCACTGATGGTGCACAGGAACTGGAATCCCAGGGCTTTTGTGCTTATTTATACTGTTTTGAAAAAAAATAATAATAAAATGGCAAAGCTGTTTGTACAAGCCTCCAAAACCAGGAGAGCTATGGAAGTTGAAGGGCTGTAGCTAAATCAAGCCCTTTGAAATAAGCTGTTCAGCCCAAATGGGTGACAAAAACACTGTGTGACTGAGTTACAGCTCAGTGTCCTAAGCTGGGAAGCTGAGATGGAGCCTTGGTTTTTCTGTGGTACCAGATTTGGAAGAATATTCAGTTGTCACTGTCTGGGCTTATACCTGCTGCCTTCCACGGAAAACAGAGCCAGGAATTCTGGCTGTGCCATCAGGAGAAAGCCAGGGATTATTGAGGAATCTGCATGTCATCCACATAGAGGAGATGTCAGATCCATTCAGGGAAGTTGTGTGGGACCCCAGAAGGTCCCACAGTGTCCCAGTTCCTGCTGCCTAAAGAATTTGTGTGCAAATAACCACAGTGTTTTAAGTGTGTAAATACCTTGGGTTCACAAGATGGATAAGGAACTACAGCCAGAAGGAGTGCACAGTGTTAATTTAGTGGGTAAAACTGATTACTCAGAAATAATATCTGCTGAAAGTGCAAACTTTAGGGTGTTGGGAGGAAGAAAGGAATGCAGTAGATTTGGCTTTTCCCTGGTGCAGCCTCCCAGTCTGTCCATTGCCTTTGGGACAGGCACTGCAGGGCTCCCCTACCACTCTTTACTGGCTTTTATAAAGGCACTGACACAAAAAAATATTTTCTCAGTATTTATTTATCCTCTGCTCAAATAGAAGTGTTTTGGTGAGTGACTTTAGATGGGACAATGTGTCAGATTGGGTGTCTCCCTTCTAATGTTAGCTTTGCTTCCAAGTAATCTGCTGTCACCCTCTGCTTTGGGCTGTGTGCCTAGGGACATCTAAGCTTTTGTACAACTGTTACTCCATGAAAATGCTGTTCTGTTTTCCTAACACTTAGTGCTGTCACAGCTTGGGACACTGGAATAGCCTGGATGTGCTGAGTGCCTAAAATCAACTTTACGCAATAAACTTTCCACTTCTTGGGGGCATTTCCTACTTAAATGTGTAAAATTTCCTTACATTTCTTACAGAGCCTCTTATCTGAACATCTTTCTTTTGCCCTTTCTGGGCAGCTTTGAGCATGGAAAGTGTTTTGGAGTCCTTGAGGGATTTGATTTCAACCCACATGTAGTGTGGCTGGAACATGTGGTTCAGGGACAGTTTTGCACTTCAGTTATGAGTGATCTGCACATCAAAAGCTGAACACATTCCTGTTCCTATTAGTGTTTTCAAATCTCCCAGGGGTAGAACCAAGGCAGGCTGACCCAGCCATCATTTGGGGGGTCATTTCTACATTCATTTTCCAATAAACATAGCCATGCTTGTAGATCCTTACTCCACCCTTACAAAGCTGGGTCATTTTACAAAGGTGCCATCAGCAGGAAAAATGCAAGAGGGAACTGGGAATCTGCTAACAGTTAGAACATGTTCTTCTGTACCTGTGCATTAGCTATGTAACGGATCAGCCTTTGGAAGTGTCAGGAAGATGCTTTCTGTATTTTAAATGCTGCAGCTGTGCACCAACTTCAGTGACTTCAAATGCATCTGTTACCCCTCCAGCCTGAACATCCTTTCAGACCATCAAAGGATACTGAAGAGAGGCTAAAGGTCATTCCCAAATTCTGCTTTCCAGATCCCAAAGACTGGTTCCCATCATCAGACCTTAAAAGGTAAAGACTTGGTTTTGAATACTTGGGGCTGAGACAGGCAATGCTGAAAGCTTTGGAGTGTGCCTGAGGAGCTGCAGCCAGAGCAGGGGGGAAGGGGAAAGGATCCAGGAAATCCCTGGGGTAGGAGGGAAGGTGAGGTATGGAGCTGGGGTAGAGGGCTGCTGCTGCCTTTCCTGTAAGAAGGAAGAATTTGTCCAAGGCCAGCTCCTGGGGCTGGAAGTGCTTCTGCTGCTCCTTGGCTGAGTGGGGAAGCAGCTGGGAAGGAGGAGAGATGGAAAAGCTCATGGGGTGCAAGTTTTTATCCTGAACAGATCCAAAAGTCATTGTAATGACTGTAATCGTGCCTTGGCCCTTGTCAGCATAACCAGAAGGACTTTTTGTGCTTTGTCAGTCTCTCCCCTGAGCTCTGTGGTGAATTTAACCCCATCTCTGCTTTGGTTCCCCAGTGAAACCTTTTCCTTCGTGCTGACGGGGGAGGATGGCAGCCGCTGGTTTGGATACTGCAGGAAACTCCTGGTGAGCATCTCTAGGAGGGCTGGGGGTACAGAGAGCACTGTCTGGGCACTGTCAGGACATGACTCAGGGCTGCTTTCCCACATGGGTTACTCATCCTGTGCTGCTGTGGTGGTGGCAGCCCTTGGGACGCAGAGAGAAGGGTCATGATGTTGCCCAGAAACAGTGAAATGGGCTCTGGGCATGAACCAGCTCCTGGAACTGGGTGTTCCTTGAGAGTCTTCATAGTCATAAGCGTAGGGGAGGCTGCAGCAGAAGGAATTCTGCAGATCAGCTGCAGTGTGGGTGCTGGGTTGTTCTTGCCCCCCTGTTCTCAGCAGAGCTGTTGCTTTGCCTTTCAGCCAGAAGGGAAAGGGAAACGCCTGCCTGAGGTGTACTGCATCGTGAGCCGCCTGGGCTGCTTCAACCTCTTCTCCAAGGTGAGCTGGCACAGCCTGTTCCTTGAGCCCTGACAGCCTGCAGGCTTCTCAGAGTAACTGGATGCTTCTGTCAGGCTTAGTGATTGCAGCTTATCCCAGGAGAGTGGTGCTGCCTCTCTGTCATTGCTTTGAGCAGGAAATAATATACTGGTGCTGAGCCTTGTCAGCCAATACACAAGTCCTTCAGCAATTACTGCAAGGAAGGGCCTTCTGATACCTGGTGTTACTGAGGCTGCCCCTTCATCCTCTTCTTCTGTGACTTGGAAATGGAAAATCAGTTTGGGATGGGGTTGGATCTCCCCTGGTTTTTTGTAGCACTGTGAGGAGGGGAGATAAAGAGGTGAAGACTGGAAAAAGCTGCTGCACATAAAGGGCAGTTATTGCAGAAGAGTACAGGGACAAGCTTTGATGAAAGATGGTTCTGATTGTTGGAGCAGAGTTTCTAGAACAGCATTTCAGGGAGGTTTCTTGGTGAGGGGGATGGGGTGTTGCTCCTCTTAACTCCTCAAAATAAAGAGAATTGGATTATTACATACACGACTTTTCCTTCCAGTAGCAGGAGACTGGAGAGTTTTGCTCACAGGAAGCTGTGCCTTTTTGATTGTTCAGACATTTGAGATGAATTTCACAGGGGTCCCAAGCGAGGTGGGAGAGGGCTGTGGGTCTGTGCTGGAGCCTTCTCAGTGAGAATTCTCTGGTGGGCTCTCCCCTCTGGTCAGCAGCGGCAGTGACCCAAGGCCACGTGTGTTTCCCTGCAGATCCTGGATGAGGTGGAGAAGAGGCGGGAGATGTCCCCAGCCCTGGTGCATCCCTTCATGCGCAGCGTGATGGAGGCCCCGTTCCCTGCCCCGGGACGCACCATCACCGTCAGGAGCTTCCTGCCAGGAGCAGGAGATGAGGTAACGCAGGTCAGGGTGAGCTGCCTGTTCTCTCTAGGGTCTCTGGAGCACAGAGGCTCTTTGCAAACTGCACAGTGCTGCCTGGAAATGATTAGTCTGAAGAAAACATCCTGGAGTTGGAAGGGAGGCTGTCCCAGAAACGTGTTTGCTGTGGAATCATCTACTGTGGAAGTGATTCCCTGCTTCTTAATGAAGAGCTTCAGGAGCACTCTTTTGTGCTGCCCCACGCCAACTGTCTGAGATTCTGTGTAGAATCATGGATTCAGAGAATATCCTGAACTGGAAGGGACCCATAAGGATCATTGAGTCCAACCCCTGGCCCTGCACAGACACCCCAACAGTCCCACCCTGTGCATCCCTGGAGCAGTGTCCAAAGGCTCCTGGAGCTCTGGCAGCCTCAGGGCTGTGCCCATTCCCTGGGGAGTCTGGGCAGTGCCCAGCACCTTCTGGGGGAGAAAACTTTTCCTGAGATCCAACCTAAATTCCCCTGGCCCAGCTCCAGCCCTTCCCTGGATTCTGTCCCTGGTCCTGCCCCTCAGGAGGAGCTGCAGCCTGTGGTGAGCTCTGACCTCGGGCCCCGTGCTGCAGGATGAGGGTCCCTGCTCTGGGCTGCTCCTCCAGCTCTCTCTGTGGCTGTGTCCTCTCAGGTGATGGAGCTGTGCCGCCCCTTGGACTCCCGGCTGGAACACGTTGACTTTGAGTGCCTCTTGCAGTGTCTGAGTGTCTCCCACACCATCCGGGTCTTTGCCTCTCTCCTGCTGGAAAGGAGGGTCATCTTTGTGGCTGACAACTTAAGGTAAGAGATGAGTCTGAGTGGTTCTTTCTGAGGAATGCTATCACTGGATATTATTGTTTCTTTTGCCTTTGGGACTTTGTTTCTTTTGCATGGGACCTGTCCCATGTCCAAGCTTGTCTAGTTTTGCACTTAGTTCCATTTGAAAACCTTCTGCACTCCCGACACAGCAGTGTGCATGCCTAGAATTTGGAGTATGCTATTTACACAAGAGGAGATAAGGGAATGTTTCCTTTTTGCCTCTTTATCTGGGGTTGATGGTGGTTTTAGCTCCCCATAACTGAGTTCAGAAGTGGCTGCATGGGGCCTCTGCTGATGCACAGACTGTACACGAGTGACACCTGCTCTGAGCGTTTCCAGCCTGAAGGAGACACTAACCACCCTCCCTGTGCTTCTCCCACCTCTCCAGCACTCTGTCTAAATGTGGGCATGCTGCAGTGGCAACACTTTACCCCTTCACCTGGCAGCACACCTACATCCCCGTCCTGCCAGCTTCCATGATCGACATTGTGTGCTCTCCGACCCCATTCCTCATTGGCATCCTCTCCTGCTCCCTGCCACAGCTCCAGGACCTGCCCATAGAAGAGGTGAGGATATCTGAGACACAGACAGCGTCAGTGGAATGAGGTTGACCTGTCTGGAATAATATCTAGATTCTGTCTGAGTATAAACTCTCAAACTTCTCCGAGCCACTTGGTGAATTTGCCAGATAAATGTCAGGATGTTCCAGCATTATCAAACATAAATAATAGTCACTGTTCTCAGAGACAGGCTGCATTTATGCAGAACTTGTGCTTTGTGTGTGACAGCCCTATTTAAAAAACATCTCACATTTAAAAAACAAAAACGTTGTTTATTTTCTATACAGTAACATACCTGGTTATGAGTCAGTGTGTTTTCTATGTCTCCCCAGGTTCTGATTGTTGATCTTTGTGCTGATAAGTTCTTGCAAGAGGTGAGTGAAATAACAGTACCAGTAACTCATGGGTTTATGCCAGGAAAAGGCATCGATGAAAGAAACTAATAAATCAGGAGAAGCTGGTGTTCATATGGAGACTCTAGTGCCTGAAGAAATACCTTGTAATCCTTTGGAACTGACAGAGAAGGGAACAGGCTTACGAATCTTTGCTGCAAGGTTGAGGTTGCACAAGGTGGAGAGCTCTGCAAAGCCACAGATGCTGCTTGTCTGAGCTGAGTTTACAAACTATTACTTGGTTTCTTAGGTGAAGGGTGTTGTATTAGGAACAGTGATAGTGATGACACAGACTCTCAAGCTTAGTTGCCAAAGAGAGCGTGTTTTATTCTTCCAGATCCTATTTTATAGACAGTTTTGAAAAGGTCTGAAAGGGTTAAACTTTCATTGGCCACCAGACCAACACATCACCATCCTTGGACAGTTGGGAACAACACCCCTCAGGCGTTTCTTGCAAGTAAACAAAAAGGAGACAAACAACACCTGCAAAGGTTATTTTCCTTCTCCAAGGACTGTTTGAGTTCTTCCTCACAATTTCTCAGACCCTCAGGCTAGTGTGGGAAAGTTCTGTGACTTAGTTTCAGGCAGACACTGTGCTACCTGCCTGATCTCTCACATTCAGCATCCACAGAGGGGGATTCCCTAAGATTCTCTGCTGCTTTCTGTCTGTCTCTCCCTGTTCTGTACAACACTTTCTCCTCTCTCATCCAGCTGGGGGGTGTTTGTTGGTTTGGGTTGTTGTTTTTCCCAGGAGTGACAGTTTAGGGTACAAATTATCACAGTACACTTGGGGTTCTCTGCTGAACTTCCCCAAAAGTACTTCTGCATCCCCAGACAAGTAGCTATAAAAATACTGGGGATTTTGTTACTAGTTCAAGATATTTGCTTCTCCTTTTCCTTGCCTCACTGTTCTGTTTTGCATTGCAGCCTGCAACTGGAGAAAGGTATTAAAGGATTGGGGGATTTTTTTAAACCATATTATTGAGACCCTTTATTATTTCCTCAACAGACTTTGATTGTTTTTGTTGTTTTACTGGTGAAATAAGCCTGAATCTGTGTGGTGGCCAGATGTGCGTGTGACTCTAATGAAATGTACTTGGGGCATGCTGAGCAAATGTGTTTAATTTCTGTGGCTGCAAGATAAATATATTGTCCCCCTTAAGATAAATCACAGAATAACTCCCCTCTAACTGCTTTAGGCATGTTATGAATATTTCTAATCTACCCCTTGGTTCTCCTGCTGATGGGAGTAACACAAAAGTCCTTCCTTGGCTGTCCTGTCTGTAGGTATCAGATGAGGATGAGATCCTGCCCCATAAACTCCAGGCTGCACTTGTACAAATCCTGGAAGAACGGAGTGAAATCCTGTCACATGGGCAGAGTGACACACAAGGTACTTTCTGTGAAAAAGTTTCTATGGAAAAGTGTTATGCCATTAGCAGATCTCTACCATGGAGTTGATAAAAATGAGAAAATTGAAATAAATGCTAAGAATTTTAGTTGTTTCCCTGTGATCTTGCTGAGAACATCTTGTGAATGTGTGCTGACAGTTCCTCTTTTCAGAATTTATGTGTGCAGAACTGTAGTTTTCTTTGGGCCAACAGCATCAGTTCCTGCGCTTTGAATTTTATGATATTTTTCCAAGTGGCAGAGACAATGTTTTTCTCAGAGAATGTAGAAAATTTCTGTATTTTAGAGGGTAATCTGGCCGATCATTTTCAAAGCTGAACTGTTTTATACATGATTCATCAGATAAGGAAGTGTGAGAAACTTAAAAAGCCCTGAGTGGCTTGAGAAAATGGCACCAGCAAATGATATAATTTCATAAAAACAAAGTTTGTTTTCCAGAGAGTTTGTCTTCTGTAGTTTGCCTAATTCTTGAAGAGAATTAAACTTAGCCTGTTATGAGCTGGCAGCTCATTACACACCAGATGTTTAACAGGGAAAATGAAATTACGGATGTTTTAAATTCTGGAAAAGCTTTAGAATCGAACGTGTCCCAAATGCAGCAGAAGTTGACATTGGGAAATTGAATATTGAAATTGAGCTGAGACTTCTTTGATACCAATCACCTGGAAGTTCCTAGTCTGAGACAGCCAGTACAAAAAGTGACTGAGCTCTCTAAAAATGCCACTCCTCCTTTAGGGGAGGAATGACCCAAGTGACAAATGTCCTCCCTACAGGTGACATGACCCTGAACTCCCTGGTCTCGGAGGCTTTTGTGCAGTTCTTCGTGGAGATTGTGGGGCACTACTCCCTGCACATGAGCGTGACGGAGAAGGGGGAGCGCGTGTTCCAGCGGGAGCCCTTCCGCAAATCCCACGGCTCCCGCACCGTGCGCCACTTCCTGCACTGCTTCATGGAGACCCAGATGTTCGCAGGCTTCATCCAGGACCGGGAGCTCAGCAAGAACCTGGTCAAAGGTAGATGTGGCATCACCTTCCTGTTTCAAGTGTGCTTCACAGACTCCCTTTTGAAGCATGATGCCATCTGCCTCTGCTGTTGGAATTCTGTCACGTGGAACAGCCCTTCTAATTACTCAAAAGAATTGCATTGATAAAGCAAAGAACTTCTGCATCTGTCTCCTTTCTCCTTGATCCTGCAGCTTGCACACACTACATGCAGGATTTCCTTTTGTAGCCTTGATGCCACATGCTAAAAGATAGAGTAGCTCATTTGGTGATTGATTTTTAATTTTTTATTTTTTTTTTTCTCTTTAGGCCTTTTTGAGGTTCGTGCCTTGGAATATTTGGAGAGTATTCCAGAGACGGAACGAACTGGAATGAACAAAATCCTTCGCAGTCTTGGTAAAGGAAGACCCCTTACTTTTGTTCATTCATTTTGTTCATTCATTGTTAATTTTTTTTTCAATTAATTGTAGATATTGAATAATTAATTTGTTACAAAGGAGAGGAAGGCTCCTTCTTTGCCTTCTGCACCTGTATTCCCTTGTTTACATTTACTGCTTCAGGGGATATTGAACACCGTCTAAGATTTTTCTTTTATTTTTAAGCTTTTGTATCTTTAGATAAAGTTGGTGGGAACTGCTGCTCTGAGTATTTGTTCCTTAACTTTGGTCCTGGCTGAGGAATTGCCCCGGGGACGGAAGTTGTGTCTGCTGGCAGAGGTGGCCATGTGTGGCTCTTCACCTCAGCCTGATGAGTCCTGGAGTGTCTCCAGCTCACAGAATCCCACAGGGTCCCATTCCCCGCAATGATTTGGAAAGGATTTTGAAAAGGACCAGTTCTGGTTCTCCCACCATCCCAGGCTGCTCCAAGCCGTGTCCAGCCTGGCCTTGGACACTCCCAGGGATCCAGAGGCAGCCACAGCTGCTTTGGGCACCCTGTGCCAGGGTCTCCCTCCCTCGCCTAAAGCTCCTAATGCTGTTTTTTCTCTGCAGGCAGTAAAATGAAATTCCTCCAGAAGAAGTGACCGGGCGCTGCTGCGGGACAGCGGCGGGAGGGGAACCCCGGGCCGGGCCGGGTTGAGCTGTGCCCTGGGAGGGCCGGGCCAGGCCGGGGGCTCCGCGTGTGCTGCGGTAACAACCAGCGCGGATCGATAACCAGCTCACGGATCGATAACCAGCTCCATGGATCCATAACAGCTCATGGATCAATAACATCGATCCAACCCTTCACGTGTCTCCGTTCCTTAAGGGGGCGCGGCCGCAACGGGAGGAGCGGGGCCGGGAGGGGGGAGGGGGGAGCGGGGCCGGGAGGGGGCCGGGGGGGGGCGGGACCGGGGGCGGAACCGCACCGGGGGC